GGAGTTTAGGGCTGTTGTACATAGGGTCGCTATGAGTCGCAGGCGACTCAACGGCACATAACAACAACAACAACAACAACAACAACATTCATGAAACCAAACAGTTTAAGTAAGCAGTCATCTAATAAACTTACCCCGTTGGCTCTACTAGCAGCTTGGAAATAAATTCTGTAGCTTTTATGGGGGAGTAGAGGAGTGTTCCAATACCCATTGTATGTCTTATTATCACCAATAGTAAAAGGCTGTGCAGCCTGGAGGCTATTTGCTGGGAATTCTGCAGCAAAGTAGTACTGGGAGTTGAGTAGTGAAGCATTCTGGAAGTGAATTGGCACTGGGTAGCATTTCAAAATTTCTGTGGTCTTTTTAGTTCTTCGAGGACGTTCTTCCTCCACAACTATTTGATACACACTAGAAATAAAAACAAAACAAAACAAAATAAAAACAACAAACATGTGTATCAGTGATCCAATGCTCTGTATTACTTTGTAACAACTGAGCTGTGTCCAACATTTCCACCCAGAGAACATACAAAATACTACTACTCTTCAGTTCAGGTCAACCATGAAGTGCTTCCTTCATTTACAATGGACAACTCCTGCTAAATCAGAGAGGGGCAGGGCTAATGGTCTTCTACAGAACTCTTTCATCCAAAACAGTATCACTTACTGGATAAAAAACAAATCACATATATGTGTACACATATACATGGATGAATGTGTGTGTGTTTATCTCAATCTAACTTCATTTACCAGATAAAATGAGTTAACATATTAAAAATTAATCTTTAAATCAATGTGATAAAAACATTGTTCTCATGTGTCCTGATCACAAAGACCGCTGAGACTGAAATCTCTATGTTTATATCTATATATCTCAGTCACTATGGTCTTTGTGGGCAGGAAATATATATATTCTATCTCTGTTGTCTTTGTGAGCAAGATACATATAGATATCTATATTATCTATATACATTAAGATAACCTATAATACCTATCTATTTAAAGATATCTATATATCTCAATCTCTGCCATCTTTGTGAGCAGGACACACTAAGACAATGTTTTTAACACACCTAATCAAAAACTAATTTTCAGACAATTAATTTGCCTGGTAAATGACGGTACATTAAACTTAAGCATCTCTATTTTCTGTATAAACACACGGGGGCAGACATTTACTGGTGATGATCAGAGGTGTGAAAAAAGGGAGCAGGGAAGGAGTGTTGCAGGTCAGTGGTCTCTGAGGGGACACAAACCTTCAGAAATGGATGGTGGTGATGGTCATACAACATGGTTCAGATAGTGGATGCCACTGAATAGTACACTTAAAAATGGTTAAACTTACAAATGTTTTGCTAAATGTACTTTACAAAAAATTGATTTAAAATGCCAACAGTATTAGGATCGCCTGACATACTTTGGACATGTTGTAAGGAGAGACAGGTCTTTAGAGAGGGACATCATGCTGGGTAGAGTAGAGGGACAGCGCAGGAGGGGAAGACCCTCTATGAGGTGGACTGATTCAGTGACTGGGGTAATTGGGATGGGTGTGTCAGAGGCAATGAGATTGGCACAGGATAGAGCACGGTTTAGGGCTGTTGTGCATAGGGTCTCTATGAGTCGCAAACGACTTGACGGCACTTAACAACAACAACAACAGTATTAGGAACATGTATATAATCTCTTGAAACATTTGCGGGGTGCATGTGTGTGAGGGGGCAGTCAGGTGGTGTGTGTACCAATGCTGGGTAGCTTCTAACTCTGACACTGGGGTTCTAAGCTCATTTCTTTGGGTCTTATTTTTTTCCCCCAAAGAAAGGATTACACAGATCTCTAAGGTGCATTTATAGCGCAAGGAGCTAGTATTTTATTAAAAAACTACTCTCAAAAAATGGGATAGAAATTAAAAAAATGAACAAAAGACACAGACTTTTTACAGAATGAGACATTGGTATGGATAACAGACACATGAAGAAATGCTCAAAATCACTGGGAATAAGAAAAATGAATATCAAAAGTACAGTGAGATACCATCTCATCCCAGTAGCAGTGACAAAGTTTAATAGGACAGCAAGGCAAAAATGGTAGAGAGGATGCAGAGAGATAGGAGAACTCTCATACACTATTATTAGTAGGATTATAAAATGGTACATGCACTCTGAAAGGCAGTTTGGCATTTTAAAAAACTGAACATAGAAATTCCATTATCATCCAGCTATTCCACTGCTTGGGATATACCCTGAGGAAATTAGAACGGAGATTTATACCCCAAAGTTCACAGAAACATTATTCACAGTTGCAAGAATATGGAATCAGTCAGAAAGCCTAACAACAAACAAATGGATTGAGAAATTGTGGTACATTCACATGATGAAATACTATGCAGCACTAAAGAACAACAATTTTGAAAAATACTACCTAACATGGGAGATACTGAAGAGCAGTATCCTGAGTCAACTAACTCAGTCTCACAAGGATAAATACTGCATAAGACCATTATTGTAAAAATAAAAAGGATAACTAGTTAATTGTGTATAAAGATCCAAAGGGGGAAGGGGTAGAAACAGAGACATGAGGGTGGGCAGGAAGAAATCACAGGATTGCACAATTTGATGACTCAAGTGGGTGTGTGTGTGTAAAGGAAATGGGAAAGATCCAGCAGAGACTGAAAAGATAAGGTAATGGTGGTCACAGTTCAATGGTTCTAATAGTTTGATTTTATAAAATACAATGTATAGGAATGATAGTATGAAATATAATGTGAATGAAGGAAACTGTGAAACACAATGTATACAAATTTTCTATGCAAACCAATGTTGTTGTTCTTAGGTGCCACAGAATCATAGACAACCCATAGCAACCCTATGAACTAAAGTCTTGGATGCAAAACTTTCATCTGTTCATAGAGTTTCCAGAGGCAAGCTATTATTATTATTTTTTTTTAAACTGGATGCCACTCCTACTTCCAAGCCTGTTTTATTTAGGAGACTCACAAAAAACAGGCCTGAAGGCCAAAAGCCTCTTTAAATATGAGGCCAAATCCAATCAGCTCTCAGGTTACTTATTGTGAACAATAGTCTCAACTCCACACCAGAAAACACACCTTTGCAGAATATGTCTGTTCTGTTCATCTTTCCAGCCTGATGCAAACCAATACAAAATGGGGGTGGGGGGAGAACCAAATTAAACCTAAACAAGCATGTTATTCCATGGTTTAAATTTTTAAAAATGTAAGGACAATTACTTGCTTTGCAAAAAGATTTTTCATTTAATAGAATAATTTGTAATAGTAGTTTCTTTCAGTCAGCCAGTCTTTCCAGTTCATTTGCTATGCAAATAATTTTAATTTAAAAACAACTTCTGGTGTTATTAACCACTGCAAGAACAGGGAAACAGCCCAGATATCCAACCACATTTGAATGGATTGAAAAATTGGGGTATATTCACATACGCAATACTACAAATACACAGGAGCAATGATTTTGTAAATTATTACCTAACTTGGGAGGGATTGGAAAGCATTATGCTGAGTGAACTAACTCAGTCCACAAGGATAAATACTGTCTAAAACCATTACTATAGAATGAGGATGGGGATCCACTAAAAGGGGGAGGGTGGATGCAGAGGGGTGAGGATTTATGGGGGGCAGGGGGATAGGGATTAATCATGGTGTACGATTTGATGGGTGGGGGAGAAGAAAATGAGAAGGTTCTGGTGTGAAAAACAATGTATTCGAATTTTGTAAATAGACTAGTATAAAAAATGTGAAATAGAATATATGAATGACTGTATGAAACACAATGTAAAAGAAAGACGATAATATAGTGTATATGAATGAAACATACTATAACGGTATTATATGAAAATCAATAAAAATATTAAAAAATAAGATGTTGAACAAATAAAAGTTAATTAGTAAAATTCAAGGGGGAAAAAGAAAAAACTTCTGTTAAACTCATCTATTAGACAAAATAGTGGTGGGGTGGGGAACCAAACCACATGTAAAGGGGAAAATAAAGGTCGCTGAAAAGGTTCCTTACATTTGTATCTAACAAAACATTTGTGTATTATATTTTAGGTTACTGTATATTCACTGACAGAAAACACCTCAATGAGACAGGTAACAACCTATGGATGAATTGTACCATCTCTTGTGCATTTTACAGACTCTGTAAACTCACCTGTGAGTCAGTTCCAATCCAATGGTACATAACAACCACAAAGCAGCACTGTAATGTCCGCATCAAGAATATAGATAGAATATTTACATACTATCAATGACATAGAGAGAGCTACATTGGCCTAGTAGACAGAAGGTGGGTGATTTTAATCTGTGTCCCTTAGGCCTGGTTCAAATTGTTTTTCTGTCAAACATTCTTCTAGGTGGTATAGCACTGGTCTGTGCATTGCTGTACAGAGGCAACTCATGGTTGCTGTGATGCTGACCACTGTGACACTGATGTGTTAAATGTGATAATGGTTACCCATGGTGGATAGTGTTTGGTGGAGCTTCCCCATTAAAACAAGCCTGGAAGTAGAAGTGGCATCCACTTCTGACATTGCTTCCCTCTGGAAACTCTATAGGGTCGCTGTGAGTCATCTACAACTCGATGGCACCTAACAACAACAAAATCAATGCCAGATACTGCTGCTTGGGACATGTATTTTGGAACCTACTCATTTTTCTGGAATGACAGCATGGACCAAACAAGGAGGAATTCTCAATATAGCCACAACTCCCCTTCACACTTCTCCAGGGGACAAGTAATAGCAAAGGTGGCAACAACAGCTCTGTAGCAGCTAAGAGCCATTGAGAATGCATGGCGTGTTGGCCATTTGTCCTGCATACATAGGCTTTACTCTCATTGGACTAGAGCTCAAACCAAAGTCCAGAGGTGAAGTATCAATGCTACTTAAGGATACAGGTGACCAAGTGGCAGAACAGCCCAGACTGAGCCCCCAGTCTGACCCCGGAGCTAGTTCTTGGGCACTGATTCTCACAAAAATGCTTTACTCTGACAGAAGTTTAATATTAAGTTTCTTGTATAATAATTTCCTTCTTACTGAACAGATAACAGAGGAGGAAATTACAAAGGAATGGTTCAGTAGTAACAGAAAGTTTGGCTAGAAATGAATTTTAACTTTTGAAAACCTACACACAAATAGTCCTGGAAGATCTGAGGCTCTGCCTCTGTTTCCTCTCGTCCCTCTCTCTCAGTCTATCTGTCCCTTTCCATCTCTGTCCCTCCAGCCTCACTATCACGTGTATCGATAGAGTGTGTTCACTCATTTGTTAATTTAACAACGATATCGTGTGTGTTTTCTTTGTGGTAAGTACTACTTTAACTATAAAAATATAATGGAAACCTTGAAATTTCCATCAAAACAAAACTTTATTTTGTAATGTAA